GGGGGCGGGGGGGGGGGGGACTGGGAACACACACATGGAGGTTGGACGTGCGGAGGTCTTATACTGTACCGCTGAATTTGTGATTGGTTGATCTCAAGAAACCCAGCGTCACGTGCGCGACGCAGCGAAGGGCCAATCCGTTTCCATGACCTGCCGGTACTTCTGATTGCTGTGATCATTGCTGTCGTTGTTTTATACATAAAGTATTGATTTTACTGCAGAGAAAGCTCAGATTCGGGCACGATACAAGCATCTACCAAATGTGCAGGTCGAGGTTGGACAGAGGACAGGCTCTGGCTTAGACCGGTCTCAGGGCAATTGAGATCGATCTCAACTGGGACAAATGCAGTCACTGGCGCAAAGTTATCTCTGAGTTCTGAACAGACCCATCATCGGCACATCATGTGTGAAACGTTCCATGGAAGCTTGGCGGTAACCGCATGGGCAGCTCAGCGCGTGCGACCTCAGTCATAGTGCGAGCGTCCAGAACGAGTAAGGCAGAGTTATCCTTCAGGTTGTCCAATGCCAGCACGACAAGACAGCCCGCATCCTCTTCAATACTATTCGGGTATGGGACAAAAATGGGTTCTCCCAAAGTCTGTTGCGGTGCAACATAAGACTTGACGATTCCGGTGTCTACATCCACTTTTTCAATACTACCGTTAAACTGCTTCCCGCCGTTATTGGAAAGACCATACACATATTGGTATGCTCCTTCCCGTATTCTTGGCGAGACTGCAGCGAACTCCAAGGCTATATCCATCAGCACCCGAGATGATGCCTTTGGCATAGAGGTCGAGTATCGGGCGCCGTCATCAGCTATGTTGGGGAGTGTGGATCGCACGGGTATGGCGTAGGCTATGTCGCCTCCCCGCACTATATTTTCTATTCGGAGGTCTTGCAGAATTTTGCAATCGTTGTGCAAGGAAAGATCAATCATGACATGGCCGTCCTGCTCAAAGGGCGTAATAATTATGGAATGTGAAGAATTGCTTGTGCTCGTACTCGGCGACGATACCGCCAGACTGCCGACTGATCACGACAAACCTGGTCGGAGTGCTTGGCCTCATCCCACAAGCCTCAGTTAACGATTTTCCCCGCAACAGAGAGAAAATACAAAGCTGAGCTGGACACATGACCATGATCATGTAATTCTTTGTGAGCGCAAAGCTATGCATGTAGTAGGTGAAGTCTTTGAGTTTTGCCAAGATGTCTACCTTCCCAGATGAATCGATGCGAAACACTTTATACTCTGTCTTGATCGGGCTGCAGTTGGCCATGAAGTTGAAGTACTCACCAGTGTCCTCATCCAGAACGCCATGCGACAGGCACATGCTTTTGTCCAACTCGGGACTGAAGTAGGAAAAGTCGTACCTGTCGGAAACCCGCAGCGTTTCCGGATCCAGTTTGTGAATGCATTTACATCCGTGCGCGCATTGAGAATGCCCCTCGTCGGTAGCTTTTCCAGGGTGACACTCGTGTTGAACGGCACACCATCAAGCTTGGGATCTCTCGTCAGTGGCCCGAATGCGTGCATCAGACGACCAAACGCACTCTCCGGGCGCTCTCGCCTTGAAAGATGGATTGCCCTGTACTGGTCTTTCGGGACAGACTGTATCGCACGCTCAACGGCATCGCTAGTGAACCTACTTTGATAGGTGACGCCATTACTCGGGGCATCAAAGCGAAAAGCGTGGATCATGCTCAATCCATCAAACCAATGCTCCGTCTCAAACTCCTTGCCATCCTTGTGCTTAACGTTAAATAAGCCCGGGCCGTTGAGATAGTAGGCCGAGTTAGCGAGATAGGACGGAAGAGTGCCGAGGACATTGAGCGGGAGGGGGTGCGGAGTTTCCACGGCGTTTTTAAAAAAAGACTGTGGAAGGAGCGGCTTGCGTTTGGTCTTTGTTTTGGGCAATGTCTTTGTTTCGGGCAATGTCTTTGTTTTAGTCAAAGGGGATGTTTCCCTTCTCGGCTGGACGAGCTTGCTGCGGCATAGCAGGGGACGGGGTGGGTGAGATGGGGACGGGTGTACGAGGCGGTTCGGGGCGGGGTCGGGATGCAAGAGGTGATTCTGTCGCAGACGGGGCAGTGGGGTGGTCGGCAAGGCCCAGGCTACGGGATGGGATAGTAGGTCCATTGGTGATAGACTTTCTCGTCGCTTTGCATGAGATGGGCATCGTTGGGGAGGAGTGTGGTAGGAAAATTTATAGGGTTTATGCGATGGTTCTTTCCGTGAGAAGGAGTAATGAGGGAAGAGCAAGAGCAGGTATGTGTGGTAGATGGCGGTCGTACAGTGTGAAAGGGATGGGTCATTGGGCGACAAAGGTGTTGGCAAGGTGAGAGGAGGATTTGCGCGGATGGGGTGGCGGCGTGGCGACAGCGCGTGGCTGTTACTGGTTATTGCTGGGAATGAACGAGTGGTGATGGATAAAGTTGTCGGGAACCATTCATAGTGCACGGACTGTGTGTATGCTAGCAGCGAGTATATGTATTGTGCTGTACAGGGGTATGGACGAATATGTACTGTAAAAGAAAAGGTAGTCGAGTCATGTGATGGTGCGGCGTTTTGGGGTGTACATATTACTGTTCTATGAGCGAATGCAATAGGCAGTTTGGCGTGGTGTCGATGCTCGATGGACATTGCATGGATTGCACATGCGTGAAGGGAATCCGTGAGGACGGTGAAGAAAAGACGTGTATGGAAACGGTGTTTGACCCCGTGCCGCCGTGGGGCGCATGGGACTGGAGTTTGCATTGATACAGTATGGTTGCTGCAGGGGTGTAAAATATGAAAACTACAGCGTGCTGTGCACTGCACAGTACTAGTACAAGTTAAGAGCAAAGTTATGCGTTTCGTTCAACAAAAGGTGTGCAAATTGGTGTGCGTGAGCGGGGAGTCGTGAAGGTTTGAAAGGGGAAATGAGGTCTGTTTCCATTGTACTGCAGTAAAAGGACGCGTCGAAGCAAAGACAGCATGGACAGCACGGAATATGGCGGCAATCAGATGGTTTAGATACCCTTGGGTACAGTGTAGGTGAATGACATATTGTAAGAAACTGATCACATGGGGTTGTGGTTGGATTGTGATTCGTGTCACGAAAGCGCAATGAGCGTGAGGCCGATATTGCCCGTGAGGCCGGCGTGTGAGGAAGACATCTGTGTAAAAGCATAAAATCTCGGCAGGTCAGATTTCTGTTCACGCGTAGAAGTTGCGACAGGCGACAAATAGTGAATTGTGATACATCGCTTGGATTGGACCGTTCTCGAGGCATCGCAATGCTGCGTCTATCATGCTGTACCGGGTACAGCATGATATATCCGGGGTCGCCCCTGTTAGGACTGGACCCAGTTTCTGAACGGTCTTTCATTAAAGAATCACCCGGCTTCCAGTCAAAACTTTTACAGATCGTTACCGAGCTCACATCAGAGAATTTGATCTAGCAGTTGTCGTGAAATGCAGTAGAAATGTGCTGGCAGTGGTATTGTATACATCTCATAGAACTGCTGCATATTTTACTTGGGCGCAAGTACGTCTATTTACGAGATTCCGTGGTGTCATGCAGACAACGCATTGGGTATATTATTTTAAAT